ATAGAGCAGCCCCCTAATACCAACACAGAGTCAATCAGTCCTCCAGACTCCCGTCTTTTCATCCAGGCCTCATCGTGATATCAAACACAGCGTTTTCCAACCGCACTAACAAGCTGGAGCTAACACCCTCAGGCCCGATGTCTTTAAGATGATTGAAGCAGTCAGAGGTGGCCTTCACCATTTTTCCAAGCACCAAAAAAACCCAGAAGCCTTATGCTATAAAACCACATAAACCGTCTTGTGTGTTGCACCACTAACAGACACAACTGGGGGCCATTTTCCATTAGAGAGCAATACATTTAAGTTAAGAAGTGGTGGGTAGGATGACAGTCAGAGGGGAGAGGGAGATGTGGCGGTTTTGGGGCCCATCTGGTTCTTGCTAAGTCAATGAAGGCAGGAAGAAAAGCTGAGCAGATACTCTAAGCATTAGCGGTTAACCAACTACTAATGAGGGGAAAAGAAAAACATTGAACTCAGATGAAAACATTTAGCATTAAGAGGAGTGCAATGTCCTGACCGGGTTTCAGGGAAAGATGGCCAACACTCACGTAAGCCTCTAGTGTAATAACCAAAGGGATAAAAAACAAAAAAAGTGGTCCTGTTTCTAATATATCTGTGTGCATGCTTTAACTCAATGAGTGTAGGAATCTGTATGTGTATCTCATACATGTACAACCTTAAATACAGCCAATGTCCAAGGCACTCTACTCCGCTGTAGCCTTGGCATATAAAGCTTGATCCTGCTGCCAGGGTTTGATGCTTGAGGGTTTTCATTCCTCTGATCACCTCTCTTCCCTCACAAACGCCCCCTGCCTCCCCCCTCAAAAGCTCTGGAATAAATCCTGGGAAATGAGAGGGCCCCCTGCCCCCTTGCTGCTACTCATTCCCAGGTGTGCATATCCCAGGTCACCCCAGGATCAGACGGTTACACTGCCATAGTGTTAGAAAAAGGAATAATAAATGACTGCGGATGAAGAGTACAGTGGGATGTGGGGTGAGGAGCAGGAGGAAGGTGAGATGTGGGTAAAGAAAAAGGATCCAGATGAAAAGAGAAAGAGAGAGAGAGAGAGAGAGAGAAAAAGAAGTGTTTGGTTTTGGGAGTGTGAGCCATGCTGAAACCATTCAACTCAAATCAGCACCATGTGTCCTCCAGAGCCTTATTATCCCATAAATGAACTTTATTGAGGCAACAAAGTGCTTTGGAGCGCTGCGAAAACATTAAAGGGACCTCGCCTGTCTCGGCCCAGAGCCAAGAGTGGTCCGATGCCGCAGGGGACTAATGAAAAAAGAGGGGCCCCTGGCCTCGTGTTCACCGTCCCCCCCCAGTGCAGCCTCGCTAGCTGGCTGGCCGGCACTGGCTGAGTAATGGCCTATTAGAGGGAGCGAAATAGTTGGCAATTACATCAGGGAGACAAATATGGCACAGACTTCTTGACTGACCTGACCCCTGGAATTAACCAGGAAGGAAGACAGACAGACAGGAAGGAAGGAAGGAAGGAAGGAAGAAGAAGGGAGTTAACAAAAAAATATGATACAACAGGACAGCAAGGCAGGATGCCCAAGCACAGCCAACAACTGTTCCTGTGCCTTTTTACAAACTTTGACGTTTATATCAAATGGGTCCTGCATTATGACAGACTCTTTTTGATATTTGTCTTAACAACTCATCTTCTAGACCTCTGTAACTTTCTACTCATCTCTTCATGAGGCTTATGGCTACATTGGCTATTATCACAACAGAACAGAATATATGATTGAATTATTGGTAGTCACACAACAGGTTTGGCAGAGAAAAGAGAATTTGAGAGGCATGAAAAGACAGTATGTTCTGACCTACATTATCCAGTTTGATCCTTTGTCTGTTAAACTGTCCATCACGGGGAGGGGAAGAGACCAACAGTAGGCTTTAGGCTCTTAAAATTGGTTTCTATGGTCTTCAAAGTGAGAACAGAGGAGAAAAGAGGTGTATGAAATCTCATGAGTCATGTAGTCATAACAATGAAATGTCCAAGTGTCTGTTAAACACAAGAAGAAGAAAGTCAGAGTTTGTGAATGGCTGACAATGTGGAGCAGGTCCTCCAGGAGGTGGCTCACTGTTGTGTGAGATAACAAACATTCGTGACAGCTCTGGGGACTGGAAGCAAAGATGTGGCGTGTTTCTGTTGTGTATATAACCACCCGCCTGCTTCCTCAGCCAGTTTACCGCTTACGAGGCATGCAGCGGACGGCCAGGGCTTATTCCAACATAAATAAAGTCTCTGATCCTTCTCAGGATGACGACTTTCATAAAGATGGGATTCTTTGTGGCCAGGAAAGAGGTTGCAATGGTAAACCAAACAGCCGCAAGTGGATGTATGGGACTGATTAGGAGGCTGGAAATGAGATTAAAGAGAGATCTAGCAACAGATTGAATTGTATTTGCCATAATTGCTGAGAACAGCTTATTCAGTGCAGACCACAAGAAAGAGAATCATAAAACCAAGGAAGGAGGAGGAGGAGAGGAGAGGAAGGACGACTGCCACTTAAAACCAGCGAGCTTTCTCAAAGAAATCAAACCCAGGACAAGCCTTGCATTAATTAAAGGGAGCGTGTATGTTATGTTTGTGTGTGTGAACAGAGGATGGGATACGGGATGGATTAGCCCACACTCATGAACTTCAAGTTCTGCTTGTTGCGTGTATTAACGATTTTTTTAGTAAGTATCAGTAGTCTTGATTTTATTCAAAGACCAATTCAACCACATTACACTTCTTAAATGGAAAATCCCCTCAGAGCCGAGCCTGTGCATGCAAGAATGTATCTGAAATGAGATAAGTGAAATAGCCGTGACCTCAGTTCTCAGCATCTCGCTCAAAAAAGCTTTAATGAAAAATAAATCTTATAAGAAGAAAAAGAGTAACAGACAAATCAATAGAGGCACAGGCTCAAAGATAAAAGTGAGCACTGTGTGCCAAAGAGATACTCGCTCTCATTCCTGGGTTGATTGTCCTTAAAGTGAAACCACATGAACGGAGCTCCAAACCACAGGGGAAATCACAGTGTGTGGAGCTAAAGCACACATATGTGGTACAACTTCAAGCTCCTGGAAACTCTGCATTTCACTGTTACATTATCTCTATAGCTGAATGAGAAACAACTGAGGGTTAAGTTCAGCTAATCTGCATCATCAGGTGTTGTTTCATCAGTTCTGATCACGATGATCTGGCAAAAGAACCGCACCTTCCAACTGTGATCCAAATGTGATTACAAATACTTTCAAGTTGATATTGGTGCACTAAAGTTTGCGTAACCACATATTTTAAAAGCACAAACGCAAATATGGAAATCTAAAGAAAACTGTTGTGATAACTGGATGACTTTACAGGCATGCTAGCAGCTTTCTGATGCTTCTTCTCCCGAGCCTCTTTGAACAAAAAGCTATAACATCCTCATGCTAACAGCATCTCAGTGACAATCTTAACAAGCTGAGGTTTAGCTAGTTTACATAAATACATCTGAAGCTCTATGAATGTCTTTATATTTCCATGAATTTGTCATAAATCAAAGTGTTGAAGTTAAAGGTGCACTATGGAGTTTTGGTAGAGAAATGTCAAAGTTGGAGAAATGTACAGATTATGTGGTATAGGTTCATAAGTCTATACACAAACTGTCCTCAGAGGAAAATGTGTTCCCTGGAACTGCTTGAAGATAAAATGATACGCCAGAAGTTATGGTGGTGGGCCCGCAACAGTGAAACTGTAACTCTCCTGGCAGCTTTTTAGCTCCAGTCTTCCAGGGACCTGTTTTTTTTCCTTTGAATACATTTTGTGTATTTAGTTCAGAAAATATAGCATAGAATTGTTTCACTTCTCCGACTTTCAAATTTCTCAACCAAAATCTACATAGTGCACCTTTAAAGCTTAAACATGAAAAATATTTTTTTAATAAAAAAAGAACACCTTACAAAACTAATAAATATATATAATAAAAACAAGACTCAAAGTGACAGACGCTGAATATTACAAATAAAGTGGTATCATTATACATAAATGTACACACATGCACATCTGTGTGTATGAACAAGTGTACAGGTTTGTACAGTATCTCTGCAAAGACCAAAGAAGTAGCACAGACAGAATCAATATTTTTAAAAAATAAATATTAAATTAGACATTTTCTTCCTGGAAAAATGCTCCAACGTCTCTAAAGGAAAGGATGCAAAGGCTTCCAGTCTCCACAAATCGAAAGCAATCCTGAATGAGTAGGGTTGCATTAACGACCATGGATTATACGCTGCTTTTATTATGCATTGTTAGTCCATTAAAGTGCATCATTATTATTCAGTGACAATGCCGATATGCAAATGCAAAAGCATGAAGTTCAACTTAAGCGTAAGAAGAAGTACCGGTAATTGGTTATCTTGTGTAGTTGGCCAAACTGAAGCTTGATCCAAAGGTAACTGGACTAACCTCTCCTCCTAAAGCAACTCAGCTGGCATGTTAAACCAGTTTGTAAAGAACTGAAGAAACTTTTTGGAGGAGAGGTGAAACATCTTCAAGATCTTTAACTAAGTCCAGTTGTCTTTGGATCAAGCTCCGGTTTACCATGACCTGAATGACTGAGATCCTATACAGACATTTGACCATAAGACAAGAGTCGATAATTGACCTGATGATTGTGCTAGAAGAACCATTGGATCATAAAAGTGATAAGAATTAATCATCTAGGTTTAAAATGTATTATAAATAAATAAATAAATAAGTACCTCTCTAGTCAGTGAAGCTGTTCCTAATCTATCCAATAAATACTTACATGTTTTACAGCACGAGTGAAAACTTAGAATGGTTGTTGACACTAGAAAAGAAAATGTCAGGCGATCTTCAAAGTCAGAGGGATTCATCCTCTGGGGACCACGAACATATGTAGTCTCCCTTGAAATTCATTCATCAGCTGCAACAATGCTGAAGACTTCAGAATGTTTTTTTTGCTCTAGTTAAGACAAAATACTCTGCACAAAAATGTAGTTTTCTATGTTAGGCACTTTATTGATTTTTGTATTAGTGATTCACAAACACAAATATTATTGTCAAGAAATAAACAGATTGGTATATCGTTTACTTATTAAGAGATTTACCTGGATGTATAGATAATGTTAGCAGTAGAGGGAAGACAGAAAGAAATGTTCAGAAAGTTAGTTTTCATCCCCAGAAATCTGCATCACAAAATGCCCATGGTAACGTTTCTAAACTAGATGTTAGTGAAAACGGAGTTTGTCCGAAATATAAAAAACATTTAACTGTGTGTGTTCTAAAATGTGATGGCAGGAGCATAAAGACAGGAGTGCTTCGAATAACACATGTACGTCCACATAAATAAGAGGGGATGTGTTCTATTTCTGTTGAATGGCTTCCTACGGTAAATGTTACCCTGACCATGTTTGTGCCGTTCTACTTCCAGACCTGCTGAATATCACAAATGTCACACTGTAGTACAGTAATCAAAGTAGTACAAATCTATGAAAAATATAACGGTGTTAAGGCATGAGAGACTCGCTCAACAATCACAACACCACTACACTACACCATCAAGAGTCACAAAGAGATGGCTCAGGGGTAAGCAGCACTCGTCATAAGAGAGCTGCAAAGTTCACTGCTGCATTAATCAGCTTCTATATTTAGACAAAATTCAGTAGGGGCAGATGCAGTCTTTATAATGTGTTTTGTTCAAATGTAGTAGTGAAAAATACCAAATCTAGTAGATTCATCTTGTTCAGTTTAGTGTTACTTGGTATCTCTTGATTATCTGTAAGATTGAGTTTACATTTCTGAGGTTGAATGCATGCAGAAGATATAAGAGCTTCCTAAAACAACTGCTGCCCACCCCTGGGCCACACTGATTATTACAATTTCTATCAACTTGGCCTGCCAAGTCTCACCACTAGAGGACACTCTGGTTTCAACAAAAGGACGACGTGCCACTGCAAACTGTAGGACACAGCAAGAGACCTCCACTCCACACGCCCCACGACTCAAATCCAGCACAACCCAAGTCCAGACTTGATGCTCTGTGTGATGCTCTGTGAGCGACATAACTGATAGCTCTCCAAATCTGTCACAGTACTATCTACTATGTACCAGAACAGCAAATAGTTTAAGATTTGGATGTCCCCCCCCCCTTCTTCAGATCTTTGGTATTTGGAGTAATTAGAAAATAAAGGTGCTAGTTTGGAAAACCTGAAGATGAAGAAATGTGCCATGAGATGTTTAGCCTCAAAGAAGTAGCTGAAGTTTCACAACTGATATGAAAAATATTAAAAAGGACAGGTTCAAGGTCTCCCTTTATACGCCAATACCGATATGTACATTTATAGAGTCACAAGTTAGCCAAAGCACGGAGGCAGCTTTCAAGGTAGCAGACATTTTAGTGCAGAATTTGTTCTTTTTGCATGTCATGTCGGCGGCTCAGCAAGGACACCGTCTGAGGAAACACAAAGAGAACATTTCACACTGAAGAGACTGAAAGACGCCTGCTATATCTGACTAATGGTCACTGATGACACATTAGAGCTACAGTTAAATGCATTTTGCGAAGAGTCCTTCATGTAGACTGAAATGGAGAGTCCTTCATGTAGATTGAAATGGGCTTCCAGTCTGTTCTACAACAATGATCTCATGTAACAGGTTTTGTCTGTTATAATCCCCTTGTTCTTCAAACTAGGCATTAAAAGGTGCCTTCCTTATACGCCTTTAGTCTAAGTGATGAGGGACAAAATCTTCAGTCCACAATCTCTAAGATAATCCACTGCAAAGTTATCTGAAATGTATGTTTTCCCCACTATGCTACAGTCTGTTTAGTACAAAATTCACTTTTTGTAACTATACTGTCCCTGCAGCTCAACAAGGAGGCACTGCTTTAGAAAATACAAATACAGCAGGAAATATCCATCAAAACTGAAGAAGTTATCCACTTTTTTCTTTTCTTTTTTACTTACTATTATATCATCAGAAAGCCTTTTTAATTGAATTTGAATTAAATGAAAGGTGTAACTAATCCATGAAAAGGACCTACAATTCATTAGATCACAAGATCACACCCCCCCCCCGTACTCAGTGAGTACGGGGGGGGGTTTAAATGCATAGATATAATTGTTCAGAAATGTAAGGAACAGCATCTTCACTTAATGCTTTGCAATAGAAATGCTCCTTCTCCCTTGAAGTTTATTAAACAGGTTTAGAGGTCAGACTGATACTTTCATTGATACAACATCAGTTTAATTTTCGTGCATTTATGGTTTATGCATAGACTGGACTGTGTAACTATGATCTACAGGTATTCACTTTCAACTACAACACATAGATTTGGAATCCAGGTAGCAAAGAGGAGCCATTCTACATGAAAGGAGATGAGTTTCAGAGCAGCCTGATTGGACACATTTACTGAGGCACAAACACACACACACGCACACGCACACGCACACGCACACACACGCACGCACACACACGCACGCACACACGCACACGCACACAAACTGGACACCCATGGGGGCCACAGCAGGGACCATCTGCAGTGGAAGAAGTGAAAATGACGGTTGGAGTCAGCAGGTAGCGTTTTGTTTTGTTGGGCGAAAGCTTTAACAGACAAACTCCTGTCTCATGCGGATGATCTGCAGTAAGGCGGCCTGGACGTCCTCGTCCATATGACCCTACGAGAGAAGAATGGTCAGAATGAAGTTCAGTCACTCTGTTGTTATATAAATCTAACTTATGATGTGCTGCAGCTGTTGACGCTGAAACATCTTTAATGAGTCATTAATAAAGCTGAAGAAAGGCTTTAAGAAGTGATGATTGGATCAGGTGTGACACAGGGACTGTTCATTACTAGATGAAAATGCTTAATGACAAAAGACCAAACACATTTGGGTTCACATGAATGTTTTATAAGCAGATTACGGACTAGTCTTTCAAGAATGTATTTAAAAAAATTAAAAATAAATAAAAACGTATTTTAAAGGCTAACAGTTCAATAAATGTTTATCAACTCTGCTATGAAAGAGTTTAAACTCAACGATTTGAAGAAAAAAAATCATCAGACAGACTTTCCTTGTCAAACGTGTTAAAGCTCAGGAAGGTCAGACAAATCAGTCTTTTAAGAGAGGTTTCTAGGATGAACTTACCTGTGCCGCACTCAGAAGATGAGTTCGATAAATTGAAACCACCTCCCTGTGTTGCCTCTCAGCATCCTTTAGGAGCAGAAGACAGAAATAATATCAGTCCTCTAGTATCTGCCAGCATGTGTTTTGAGTTATGATATGTGCAGACGGGTTTCAGCTACAGTGATGGAGATGTTGATTTTTTTTCTTCCCCCATGTAACGGAGGCACAGCAAACACTGTAGAATCACTGCTCACATCAGTTACTTCATGTGGTTTGTATGTCTCACTGTATGAACTAACCAATGTGTCAGTCATCCATAATACAAATCTCTTTCGTCTGTGCACACCTTTTCTAAATCTAGAGATAACCAAACCAAAAGTTAGCAGCATTAACTTTTTCTAGACTCTGAAATAACATGCTGGATATTATGCCCACTCAAAGAAAAACAATGACTGCATTGAATAGCAGACTAATTTGTACATTTGTATAATTTTCTGTGTTAAATATTTTACTGTGTCTACTCACAGCCAGCTGTTGCTGTAGGCTCTTGATCTGGGCTTGGAGTGTGTCCATGTGCTGCGTCTGTCTCTTGTTGGGCACGTTGCTTGTGTAGGCCAGCTGTGACAGACCATTCAGGGCCTGCTTCAATCGCTCAACATCTGTCAGCAGCTCCGTGATCTGACGTAGAGACACCAAACACAAGCAAGTATTCATTTCCGTACATTTTTCTAAGAAAAAATGTCATACCCAGGAATAAAAAACAAATTGTGTCTTTAAAAGTCTACATGCATTTTCCTTGACGAGTTGGAGTAGATTAACCCTCAAACAGATGCAGTTTAACTAACATAACAGTGACTGAGCTCATCGGCATCTATTAAAAAATGGAATTGTGATATCATGTTCATGTTACCTTCTTGTCTTTAGATTCAGTCTGCTGAGCTGATGTCTGAATTCTCTTCTGGAGGTCACAGATGGTGCTGAGAGACTCATCATATCTCTCTTTAAGCTCTCTGATTTCTCTCTCAATGGCGTGTCTCTTCTCCTGGACGGCCTCCATCTCCGCCCTGGCTCTGGTCTCCCCCTCTTTTGCTCGCGTGGCTCCCCGTTGGGCTTCCTCACACTCCTCCGCTAAGCTCAGCAGCTTGTTGCTCAGGTTGGCAGCCTCCTCCTCCAGCTGCCGCTTCTCCTTCTTAAGCTCGTTCATTTGGTCTTCCGGGTAGTGAATCTCCTCAAGAGCCTGTGTGGCTTGAAGGAGCTCAGATTGCAGAGCAGATACGTCTTCGGCTCTCTGGGCGTTGTTCTCCTCCTCTTCTCGAAGAACAAGCCGAAGCTTAGCAACCTCAGCCTCCAGGGCGTCATTGGCTTTTGCGTGTTCGAGCAGCAGAGCAGCCTGATCCCCGTGGCGTTCTTGCAGCTCTTTTTGTAAGGCACAAACCCTTTGAGCCTCCTCCTGCTGAGCCTCTCTCGCTTTCTTGCAGTCAGCCTGGGCTTGCTGCATGGCATCGTTGAGGGCTTTAAGCTCCGTGTCATATGTTGCAATCCGGGTCAACTCTGATTTCAGACGCTCCTGGAGGTTCTGGATCTGTGTGTTGCAGTGGGCATTCTGCTCCTGAAGATCAGCTTTCTGCCGTGTTAATTCCTCGTACTCCAGCTCTAAGTCGACCAACTTCTTGGTCAATTCTTCAAATTTACCCTTGAACTCTCCCTCCACGTCTTTGTGCTTCTCACTGGTGACTATCGCAGTGTCCAGTCTCTGCTGAACAGATTCCATCTCAACTTTTAGTTTCTCTTTCTCCTGTTTGATGCTCTCTCCAGCAGACCTTTCTTTGTTATATTTCTCTTCTATTTCCAACAGCTTTACTGTCAACTCCTTCACCTGGGTGCTGTAGGAGTTTTCTTTCTCCTCGGCTGCTGTCAGTGGGATAAACTTAGACTGAATAGCTTCCTGTATGGTATCAAGTTCTATTTTCTGAGCCTCCAACTCTTGGGTAAGTCTGACGTTTTCCTCCTGAGCCGACACATGCATCCCAGACGCTTCCTTTGCTCTATTCTCTGCCTCCACCACAGCAGCATTCAACTTATCTAGGACACATTTGTGGTCCTTAATACTTATATAGTCTGTTTTCATCTCCAACTGGACTTTTTCCCACTCTTCTTTCAACATATCGTTTCTTTCTTTCACATTCTTCAGTTCTTCACCACTTTCTCTTCCCTTGGTCTCCAACTTCAACATCTCAGCTTTAACACTCTCTAAGGTGGAGCTAAACTCCACCTTCACCTGCTCATGCTGCTGTCTGGGAACATACTCGCCCTCCAAGCTCTCTTTCAGAGTCTGGCTCTGTGTGCTCAGTTGTACACATTCTTTATCTCTATCGTCACATTTCTTCTGCAAAATTTCAAGTTTCTTCATCAGGTCTGCATTTTGAGATCTCAGATCATCCGTCTCGGTCTGCTTCTCTTCACGAGCAATTTTGAGGCTGCTGATATTCTCCTGCAGCGAGGTCCTCTCCGCCTGAAGCTGCTGTACTTGTGCCTCTGCTTTTCCGTAGCGTTCACTGGCCTCCACCAGTTTGTCCTCCAGGTCCTCCAACGCGGTCACCATGTTCCTCCGAGCTTCATCGTGATCTTTAATGGGTATAAGGTCGAGCCCGATCCTGCTGTTAAACTCATCCAGCTGCTCTCGTAAGATATCTCTTTCCTCTTCAGTCTCCTCCACCTCCTGAATCAGAGTCTGACTTTTTGAAGTCAAATCCACCAGTTTTCTTTTCAGTGTTGCATTTTGCTCTTCCAGAGCTCCCAGTATCCTCTGCTGCTCCTCAGACATCGCCCCTGATCCCCCGTGTGATGATGGACCATCCAGCTTTTGATGGAGCTCAGCCACCTCCTCCAGCACGCGATCGTAGTCTTCCCTCAGCTCAGCAATCTGCCGTTCTTTTTCATCGACTGCGTTGGTCAGCAGGTTTTTCATGTTGTCAAACTTCTCAGCAGGAACTGTGTTGCCATGTTTAGTCTGGGCCTCCTTCAGCTGGTCTTCCATTTCTAAAAGGGTTTCGCCTAGTTCATCTCTTTCTGCAGTCAGAGCTCCCAGGTCTTGGTTCAGCCTCTCTGCCTCGGCTGCTAGCTGGCTCTCGCTGCTCTTGTACTCTTCTAAGGCCTTCTCACTCTGTTTGAGACGGTTACGAACGCGGCCCACTTCTGCTGAAGCACCTTCATACTTGGCTTTGATATCTTGCAGCTGGGCACGCAGTTCCTCAGTCGACTGGCCTCCCAAATGTTCTTTAACGGCGACCACATGGGCTTGGAGCTGCTTGACTTTACACTCAGAATCCAGCATCCTCTTCTGGACATCCCCCAAGGCGTCCTCGAGCTCTTGCACCTGCTGGTCTGCCTGCTTCTGGATGGCGTCTCGGCTCTGGACCAGCTCATGGCATTCTCGGGTTTTACGGTTCAAGGCAGATTGAAGCCGTGCCGTCTCTTCATCTGCTGCCTGTTGTCTTCTCTTAACGGCCTCGAGCTCATGTCGGAGTGTGTCCAGTTCACCAGAGAGGTCCCAGGCCACAGCAGTGGGACTCCTCTCTGGAGGTCGGGACATGGAACGCATCATTGCAACTTTCTGAGGTGTCTGCAGAGAAAGAGGAAAAACACACTGAATATCACACCAAAAGAGTCACAAAAGACTGAATACATTGGAGTTCTGAACAATTTTTACCTAGGACAAGCAAGAAAACCAACCAGGTTCTGGAGACTATTTAGCATGTTAATCTTTACACCTCTTTTGACACTTATTATATTCAGATATTTGTAATGTGAGACATTTTTCCATATTAGAAACATACCTGATCAGAATCCAGGCTGTGAGCTTGTTTGATGAAAGAGTTCTCTTTACCTGCATGAAAAAAAAAAATTAGAGCTTCTATTCCTCTGCTGATGACAGAGATAAGAGCTTCTGATTTTTCTTCAACATTTCAAAGATCAATGGAAGATTACCTTTGATAACAGACTGCCCGGAGTAATCCCCCTGGAATACACATAGATGCACATACACATTACAAATGATTGATCAAAGACATTTTAGTCTAAAATTCAATTAAATGTTAGTACTTTAATGTCTAAAATGTTAAATGCATTGATTTATGTAAAAATTGTATAAATAATAATAATAATAATAGGGACACTCAGTTCATCAGGTAAATCCGGTTTAGAGAAAGTACAGCAGCCTGCCATAAAATGATGTGTACTGATAAGTGCTTCTATTTCGTTCCTCCCATTACAGACCAGGCTCTCTGAATAATGTTCAGTAGTAAAAGTTCACCAGTACAGACAACATCCTCAAAAACTTCACAGCTGAATCAAAGCCGGTATGAACCAGGTTCACTAAAACTGAACATTTAGTACAAAGGATGTCATGCTGGACTGTCGTGTTAGGCTGCATTTTATTTTGCATTTTAGAATTTTGTTCCTAAATTCTACACCACTGTACATGTAATAAAGAACTCACTTAGACTTTCCATAAAAAGCCTTAATTCTCTGGTCAGCAACATATTTAACACAGCTTGAGAGGCATTTGAAGATACAAATATATACATTTCAAATATTTATTCTAAGTCTGAATAGGAATTAAGAAATCCTAAATCCATTGATTTCCCCCGAGGTTAAGCCTCTAAGCACATGTCTGGTAAGAATTAAGTGACTGACCAAAGTGCTCCGGAGCTGGACTTTGACAGTCTCCAAGCCTCGAGCCCCTTCCTCTCTTTCTTTGGCACTGAGTAACACTTTCAACTGCTCCCTCTGGGTCAACAGACAAAAGAGGAAAAGGCACAGGTCAGGTCAAGTCATGAGTAACGAGGCACTTTCAATGACTTGATGTTAGCACCTTTAGTGGGAGTTCATGTCAGGAAACATTTTGTACTGACTTCTTACTGTAACTTTATTTCTATGATCCAGCAAATTGAATACAAATCCTGTAATTGTTAATATACGTGTTAAACAAAAACTCATTTATATCTTAATTTTTGTAGATCTAACGGCTTTGATTTTTTTGGTGCAGCATTGGTGAGAACTAATGAACTTTCAAACAATTTATTTCACTTGTACATTACATACACTGGTAGTGTTGTCTTTTAAACTCTTACACCAAAACACCTACTAAATAATTCAGTGCTCTGCAGCCTGACTTCTGTCACTACTGCAGATCCTTCAAAGGGCTTAGGGAGGGAACTGAGAGTAACATAGTCCGTCAAAGTGCCCTAAGCACCGAGGCAATCCAAACGAGAACACACCAGGTTGCTCTGATATGTATTCATATATATATATATATATATATGTATTAAAGGCTCTAAACCATACTGACAAATATAGATCCAGTCATTCAAAGTAACCGTGTCTGAAACATTTACTGGGAGAAAAAAACAACACAAGGACACCACAACATAAAAGGTTAACAGGAAATACAAGTAATCTTCATTTTCATCAGTTACTTTAATGGAAATTAAATCTCTCAGTTTAATTTCCTGAAAATTCAAAATCTGAAATTTTGTACAATTTAAAAAAAATATATATTCCTTTATGTTTATTTTCTGTAAACTATTAAATCTTGAGCTGCAGTAGCACTTGACCATGATTCCTGAGTTTGGGGACTTGGTAGGATGTTATCTGGTGCTGATAAGTCATAGCTGATGGCACTTTCAGGCTGTGCAACTTGTATCTTCAACCCATGTGCTTCGAAACAGCAACCAGCAGCTTCCTCACAGGTTTGTTCCAGTTTCATTTTCATTTGCTTTTTTAAGGTTTCAGCGGTCACACATTCATTTAAGACTGAGGCTTTATACTGCTGTAACATAATATGCTTCCAATTTAAGAGTCTAGGAACAGATTAAAGACCTGCTTGAAAGAGGCCCACAATAAAAACGCATAAATGTTGGTTTCCTACCTCTTTCTGAGTGTCTTCCACAGTAATCTTCTCCTGCCGATGAAAAGAAAGATGAAATACAATCAGTTGATTGAGTAATACACTATTGACAAGATGCCACTGAAAGTCATTCACTAAATGTCTTTTCCCCCCGCAGTGAATAGATAATGGATCTGGTTGGATAATGGTGACATTTTTATATTAACTTAATGTAGCCTTTTAAAGTTAATCATCAATCTGTTTGTGAACACTTTATTAAAAGGCAGCCTCCTCTAAAAGGCTTTACTGTTGTTATGTAAATGGAGCCCAGGACTATGAGATATCAAGCCGAGAGAGAGGGACTCAGCTCCACTCTTCACAATTATGTGTCACTCAAAGCTCTTGGAGGACAATCAGAACTGCCTTCCAACCGACAGAAAATCATGTGCACTGACAAAATTGAGCCCGTAAAGGGCAAGCATGGCAAGAGTTTTTTTTTCCACTGTATTGCATTGTTTCATCAACGTCACTTTCTCTTGTTCTCTTCCGGTTTTGTTTACCTGTGTGAGCTGTTGTTGCAGCATATTGACCTTATCTAAAAGGACTCTCTGCTCCTGGTGGTACTTTCTGAGACTCTCCTGCATGGTCTCGTTCTGCCTCTCTAAATCCTAGAGAAAAAAAACATTCATGCATAAACCATGAAAATATGCAAACAGACAAAAATCTAGTCACTGAATGCTAAAAAAATGTATTGTTCATCAGTACTTCAAAGATTTGGATATCGTGATGATTCATTTTTACTCTTAATGAAGGGAATTAAAGCAAAATTGTCTTTCATATAAGCTGCTTAAAGAAGCATTAAGTTGCATTAAAGAAAATAAGTGACTGGATGTTTTATTGGACAAGGGAGGCTGAAGTTATACAGCACTTACATGTATGATCTGATCCCTTCTACAAGCCTCAGCAGCCTCTGATCTCTCCACTGAATGCTGCAGATAAAACAGGATCCTTTTATGAAGATATAACAATACCATATTCTTTATAGAAGTGCGGAACAACTCTCTTTTGAATCACTAGATGGCAGTCATGTACATCCGAGCACCAGGGAGAAATCAACAGTTTCAGAAATATGATAAGGCTGAACTCATCAACAGCAAGTCCAAGAAATAATGTGTGAAATATGGAACATTGGGATGAAAAGGCAGAATCTTAAGACACACACTTCAAAGTGTATTAGCATTTAAATGCCAGAAGGGTCGTTGTTTAACAATTTCATCGAGGGCTTTGTGGTTTTACCTTGAGCTTTGCCATATTTAACAAAGAAGGAGTGGAATGGACGAGACCAATTTACCCATCATGCTGTCCATAGACATGAGGGTCCTTACAAATATGTAACGCTACTGTGATTTTAAATGGATGGGGTCAACCGGAATGCTGCAGGATTACCTGTCGCTTCCACTGTTCCATCTTTGCAGCTTCTTTATCTGTAATAAAAAAAGGACAGAAACAGTGAGTTGAGATTTCATTTTCCGCGTACATTGTGTTATCAAGATTCAACACAAACAGCTATGTTTACAGAGCAGCATTATTTAAAAGGAAGAATGTGCAACTTTTTGATCCAGTAGATGTCGCCTTGAGCACCAGCATGAAACCAAAACAAACTTCTGTTTGGGGCGCCTCCGCTGCTCTGAAGACTCCGCTCTCCGATAGCGAAACACCTTCAACCCTTCTCCACTCGCTTTCGCATGAAGGAGTTATCAATTAGAAAGCACCATAATTAAGCACCATTAAACAAAAGCGGTGGACAAAAGTGTCCTTTGCTCGAGCTGCAATTGCCTGAGTCTGCATTGTTGTGTCAGCAGGTTAATGTTAGCACACTTTGGATAACTCATAGCTTCTTATTGCACATAAACTGACACAGAATGGCATGATCTAAAGACACTTATGTGACATCCGAGAGTATGTTATTCTTCTTTTCTCTAGTCCTTGACTGACACAGCTTTATACACAAGTCTCGTCCCGTCCATGTAAACATGATTTAAACACAGCCAGACAATAACACAGCCAGAGAGACTCACGCTTCTCACTCATTGTAGACAGTCTTGACTCAGAGAGACATTTACAGAAGATATTTCTGCTGTATTTCTGTGTAAAATGTCGCACATTCTGCCTTTAAGAATGTGATTAAGGAAAGGAACGTAAACAAGAAAGACAAAAGTGAAAACTTGTATAAGAAATATGAGATCAGGAGATATTTATGTCAAGACCATGGCTTTAGAGGATGGCTGTCTCTTATTATAGGATCAGTTGTACAGGATACAGCGATTGTACTTATCATGCATGTGTTGCTGTTTTTTCCTCTCACCTCTTGAGACTTTATCGAGATAACTTTTGACTATTGCAGCAAGCTCCTGGTTCTTGCTGAGGCGAGCGTAGTGAAATGCATCGTGGCCCAAACCGTCAACTGCCTTCACGTCAATGCCGTTCTTCAGCAACACCTCAACCGCATCCTTACAGCCAAACTCACAACCCAGGATCAGCGCCGTTCTGAGGGTCAACAGAGACAGTTAATGAACTGAGCAAGAACAAGAGCACTGACTAGTTATGTAAAAACACTGTGTCTATAAAAAAAAAACAAGACTCCAACATCACAATGAGACGCAAAACAACAACAATTCCCTGAGTTTTGTTTCAATGATGCTGAATAATTCAGGCCTGTGGAAGCTGAGTTGAGTTGTTTGACTATCTTGTTTATTACATTTTAAAGAATGATATTTATTTGTGTAATACTGCTATAAAGCCACAATACTATAGTTGACTAAATATTATTATACTGGAAAAGTAAGCCTTTCCTTGTCAGCAATTTATATTTGCAATGATGTAAATACATTTTTAACAACATACAGAATGAAGCTTTTTTAAATCCTTCAGTGCATATTTAAAAGCAAGTTTATAACTGTTCTGTACACATTCACCTTCTATTACTGTTGGAGACTTCAATGCTGTCCTATTTTCATTTTTTCTTCCTGTTTTGGAATTAATCTTCAACACAACAAAAGGTTTGTTAAAATGTTGTAGAGTTAGTGTATGATAATTGTGTTTATCTGATAAGAACACAGAATATTCTGTGAGTTAATTGAATATCAGGAAGACACTGTAAAGTCTTTACAAGAAAATAAAAACTAGATTGTAATAAGCTAGACCTTCTTTACATCATCAACCAGCACTGTAACCCAAACGCTACCTTTTGTAAATAACACACATTTTGCATTATTAAGTGCACAGTAGCCAGCCCTACCACAGACAAACACCACACGGGTTGATGTATCTCACTTGTTTTGTTTGTCCCTCGTGGTGATGTCAGCCCCTCGCTCCAGCAGCAGCTGACAGATGCGTGGATGACACATCTGGGTTGCAAGAACCAGAGGTGTCCTCCCGTCCTGGAGAAGAAAAAAAAACAGACATAAAACATAAAAGAAGGCATACAGATTAAAGAAGGCACACAGATACATCCATCCACAGACACAGCTATAATAGTATATAATATAACCACCTCTACAATCTAGACAATATTTTTGTGCTGCTCAAACAAATCATACATGCAGTTGAATGTGATTCACAAGGTAACAATTTTATTTTCTACAATAATAACAATGCATGAGGAAGAGGGAAAAAAAACATGGAAATGAAAGTAGTAGAATTTTCATTCATACAAAATCACTGGCATTCACAGACGCTCCGCTGTCACAGAGAAGTTTCACGCTGGAGGAGCAGCCGGCCATGACTGTGGAGGGAAAAAGAAGGGTAATCACGCAATTTGCAATCATCATGATGTGATAGACATTATCAATAATCTAAAGCTTTGGATGACCTTTTAATGTAATGACAAGCACAACATTTCTGTAGTATGTAAGGGTTTTCTTCAGTTTTATAGAGAGAGCAGAGGAGGGTAGAGAAGGGAGTAAATGAAGTTAAGTTGATGAGGTCGATTTTAGAGTCAGTACTACTGCAGCACAGCAAAGTCATGTCTTACCAGCATCATGTAGAGCGGTTCTTCCTTGTAGGTCCACATTCCCAACTGGACAGTTGTGCTGTAAAATATCACATGCACATGTTGGCAAGGCAGATTCAAGAGCAGCTCGTTATTTTACTAGAACTCCAAAATCCTCATCCCTTTAGAATACATTTATTTTTTAAATAATCAAGTATTCAACAACATATTGTATTTTGAATTTCCACCACTGAGAAAGTTGATTTAACTAGCGTAGCATAAATACACAGTGCCATTATTCATGGCTCTATAGGCTAGGACAGATGATGCTGTTGAGTCACTTCCTTCTGGTGTTATACTCTCTGAAATTACTGTCCATGTAGCTGAGCGAAAAAAAAAAGGTCAAATGGGAACAAATTTTAAAGTGGATAATGAAGTAAGTCTGATTTCACTGCAGAGTATTTAAGCCTGAATGTTCAGTTATTCAAAGCCAAAATTATTTAGAAAAAGTGTAGAGCTCATTAACACTCACATCAACTAAAACTAGATGGAAAAAAAAAATCATTTAACAATGATGAATTTCATAATTAATTCCTGCCTTTCTTGCCTCAAATTTACTTTCAGTAAGAATTTACAGTTATAATTCAATTGCAACAGAAAGGGGGTCATGAAACATTTATTTCCACTGGTTGATAGTAGAATTTGAGCTGCACAAGAAGGTAGGTCATATTAGGCCAAGTGGCGCCGCGCTGATATGTCTGTGACATCGCTACACAGTCAGTCAGCTGGTTCAACCTGGATGGTGATGAGGGCCTGTTATGAAAGCCTTGAGGACTCAATGCTAACAGGGGCATGGTGTTGCTGGGTAAGCTTGCCAGTGAGCTCAGCCCCCCCCACTATAAAAACCCAACTCTCTCTAGCAACAAGGGCCAAAAATTAGCAACACGCTCAAATGACAAAGCGCAGACGGGGGAGGGGTAAAAAGAGTGGCAATAGGAGCTGACTTGGTGCCTGGATGAGGGATATCCTATACCTGACAGAGGGGGCTAGTGGAGGTTGTAGGGGTGGGGTGTTGGGGTCCAGCTGCTATGTCTGGTGTGATGACGGCACCCAGAATGGACGGCAGGTTTGCAGCAGGGAAGGCTTGTCAACACAGCTGACAACCCTCCTGCCAAAAGCTGTGACCCCTGTTAGATCACTGCCATGCCATGGATGGAGGAGGGGGGGGGCTAACACGCTGTGAGACCACAATATTGCAGAGATAGCTGCCTCATTGTAAACACATAAACCCTCCAGTAGGTCATGGTGACTCAACAGGGCCTACTGTTGACTGATAAGAAGTGGGCTCAGCTGCCAGAGCTGTTTGGCCATAATTATTTAAAGGAGATGAAAAGGAAACTGCTCCGACTGGAAGATGACGAGGAAGGGACTCTGTGAGTCATGCGTACAGCAGTTTGAGGATACAAAAACCAGCAGGAGCAACGACACCAAAAAACCCCTTAACTATAGAAATGAACACAATATGAAAAGTTATCTTGTAAACTGCCACAGTTTATCACAGTTACCATCAGATAGTTTGAGAGGAACAAAGGGAGAATCTCAACACTTTTACCTGCAAGAGTTTCTGCACACAAAGCGAATGTCCATTTCTGCAAGCCAGATGGAGAGCATTTTTACCTGAAGGGATAAATACAATAATTGTGAAGAGTCAAGATTTTGCATGTCTGTATTTTCAAAGCCGAAAGCTGCATTTGAAATACTGAACCCGTTGTAAACATAGACAGTGTACCTGTGGTGTGTTATTTGTTCTATAGCTCATTTAATTGACTCACTATAGCTCACAGCTGCAGTTTCTCTACATACAGACTCAGCTCTCCTACGCCTTTCTGTCTACTCTTTATGCAAAACAATTTAGTTCCCAACTCAATTGAAACGGGGAACTTTTTCTGTTAAGTTTTGAGATAAAAACTCATGAGATAAATATTCATAGTGTGCTTTACTTTTCATAAGGATAGAAGCTATTCACAAACTCTTGATAGAAATTGTGTCAGTAGCCCTCTTCAGACTGCCTTTCAAGGCATGATATTTACGTCCCTGCGATGTTTTGCCCTGTCTCGTCTTCGGAGGTAGTAACAGAGGTGTTACAGGGGTGAAACAGGATCAACTTATCCAGCCAGAGGGGGCAGCACTGTGTGTTTGTACATGTCTGACTGTGTGTGTAGCTGGAGCTCCAGCTGTGCCATGCTTCTGAAAATACTGAAACACAATGTAATCCCACAGACTAAGACACAGATAGTGCGCTGTTTCAGAATCAATATGAATGTCCAAGGACGTAATGATGGTTGAGCTTAGTTACAGCACTTTTGTGAAAACGCAGTCTGAAAAGAGTTTCATTTAAACATGGACCAGCAACAAAGAAAGAGTGCTTCTATGTTTGTTCACTGCAGAACAAAATGTTCTATGTGGGGGCTGGTGTCCTTAAATTATCTAATTTTATTTTGCAAGATGTTTTAATTAACAATAATTTTCTCAACACACAGACACAAACCTCTGGTGTCATACAGCACACAGCATGTTGTTGTTGAATGATTTTATTTATACTGCGTGATGTTTTAAATATATATTACACCCAGACTAATAATGAGAATAACCCCAGCAGACGACTTCCATTTAACCTTAACTCACCAGTGGCGTCAGTCCCAGTGATGTCAACACTGTGTCCCAGGATGAGATTGAGACATTCCAGGTGTCCTCGTGTTGCGGCCAAATGAAAGCTGAAAAATGAAAGATGAGATATGGAAAATGTTAGGAGAGAAAAACAGAGATGAGGGCATGTGATTAAAAGACTGAACAGCATTCAGTACATACTAGAGGATGTGCAACAGTGATAGGGTGTAAAGAAAGAGAGGGAAAGGGTTAGACTTAAGGAACCACTGGCATGTGATGTTTCCATGGCAATTAAAAGCTACAAAAACAGCATTTTCTTTTCTCATTGTTCCAGCGTCACATTTTTAGATTTGAGTAATATTTATTGATTTAAAAAAAAAAAAAAAACAGAGGTTGCAAAACAACTTTCTGTCCTTTTTTTTATTTTCCATTCCTCCTTTATGTGGATGTGAAGATATCACCTCTGGCGCTGTTCAAACTGAAGAAACATCTACAGAAAGTGAAAAGAGTTCGAAGTTCATGAATAATGTTTTCATATCAGGGGCTTAATCTCTGCTTTCTCTTTTTGGCTTGCGTAATGTAAATGGCATGAATGATAACACACAATATGACTCCTTTGCACAATCACTGACCTCAATATTATTTCAGTTCATTACACATTGAAACACTGGTTGAAATCTAAGGCCACAACTTTTAACCTTAAATTGATAACAAAAGTGAAAACTAATGAAAAAACATTTTTTTGCCAAAGACATCATTTCAAGATTGCACAACAGTTCTACTTCTTACTTTTATGTTATCTACTGACTCTATTGAGCAGTTTCCCACTGCACGTTTGCCAACAAGTCTTTAATCATCACTTCTGACTGGAAACATTCCTGCTCCCCTTCTCTGAATTAACCCACAGTAGCTCTGCCGGCGCTGGCTGTCAGAGTCTGCAAAGCACTTGTGTGTAAACCAATCTCTGCCTGTCACCCATCAAGCTGCTTGAGCCCGTTTATACACTAACCCTGAGGTATCTGCCAAGGAGACAGCGAGGCTGTCACCTCAACACTGGCGTGGGTATTAAAAGCCGTGTTGATGGCCAGGAGATGCTGGTTCTCGGGGAAGCAGAGGAGGGTCCTGACCTCTCGGGGCAAACAGGAGACAGGAAGCAGACCAGAGCTATCCAAATGAGGGGGACATAAGAGATGCGACTCTACAAGTTCATGAGCCAAAAGCCTTTCCAAAGGTTGACTGAAGGAATGCTTCTGAACAGAGTCAAAAATATATACATGCAAACTTGAACTGGGGTGGTGGATTTCCCCACTGACTTTCAGACAGCGAGTTTCACTAGAAAGACTGGAAACCGTGTCTGAATAACTACATCATGACTGTATGCAACAATAACAAAACGTGTTACATTTAAATAGACTTAATTACAATAAAATAGTCCTTTATAAAGTAAACTAACTCAACCCAGCTACCCCTGCCTTCAAAAACAGGAAAACCTTAAAATAACAGAAAAAGGTCAGACGAGCAAACACAATGACTCGGTTCAGTTATATATTCTATAGATTTTAGTAAAGTGGTTAGAGGTAGACGAATGGATCTGGCTTTAAGGGAGCACATTCACCTATGACATTTCATCTTCACACCTGCTCCTTGGGCGGATTTCAGGTTGACAGCCTACAGGATAGGGTTGCTATTTTTAGAGGGAGGACAGGGAAGAGTAGACCTCAGAGTAAATGTTGGTGGCTAAGCTATATACAATATTGTGCGTCTGTAGAGGCACAACAGTCAAAGTGTTGTGGCTGCTGTAGTTTCCAATATTTTCTTTGATCATTTCTACAACCTTGAGCAAGAACCAAGTCTTTGTCAGTCAATATAATACAAAACACTTTATAGTGTTCGGGACAAAATGTTGACGTCTTGTAAGTTGGATTCAGACCCAGTATTCAATAAGAGTTGTTTTGGTACAACACCAGTTTCTTCATCAGCCTCTGATTATGCCTAAAATTATTTTGTGATTAAGCCAGTACTTGTAGCCATCTGATACCATCATTTATCAGCCCCCAAAATATAAACTGGTTTCAGTTAATTTATAATGTGATAATAACAAACAATGTGATGGTAGCAGAGAGTGTTAGCCAAAGCTAGTAAAACATCAGCAATCAGCATTTTCCCAACAATAATATGGATTTTTTTTTTAATCCTGAGAGATACTCAGTACCAGCCGACACTTACCAAGCATCAGAATATTATCAGGAAGGAAAATGTTTCACCTGAACATCTCTAGTATTAAAAAACATACGCCGTTTTTGTTTAGGATTGTCTAGACAATATCTTCAGTCTGTTCCAAATATATAATGAGATAGAGCTCCACCTCATGTAGCTGTGAAACTCGCAGCTTGCTATTGTTGTCTTTGAAAGACACTTGAGCAGAAAATTCATTACTGCTAATCCTGACAAACAATGTGCCAGACAAAGTCAGTGCCAGTATCGTGCTGCGGGCTGCAGCAAGCAACAGCCTTGAATAGTGGTCTGCTGTCATGTGGATGACTTCTGCTGCTAAGCCCTCGTCAGCGAGCTATCACTACTGCACAGAATGAGCAGGTGTGATGGGTTGGCTTACCTCACTGGGGTCAGGCTAATGCCATTGCAGAGATGTAAACTGTTTACTTAGCTGGAAGCCTCAATGAAATAGTTACAGCTGAATTCATTAGCTGAACACAGCGATGCTAATCCAGGATACAGCAAATTATATAAGGGGGCAAGCCGTTTGTAATTAGTTTCCCCACAGAGGTCCATGATTACAAGGAGTAGCCATGCAGCATTCTTTTGTTGGTCAGAGAGCCATCGACATGTGCTGGTCTGTGTGTGGCCCGCTGAACTATAAGCAGACATGTGATTGTGGTACACTTTAGTTTTGGCTGGAGTTGGCAAAAATATGACCCCTTTCTAAGTGTTGATTTTATAGTTAACTAGTTCTACACTGTCAGCCCTGCAGGGTCTCATTAAACAACAAGTGTGCTGACTGTGTTCAGGTACAACAGCCTCCTTAAACAGTCTGTCAGTGGTACAATGGCTGCCATCATTCTTGATTTAGTTCTGACAAATTCTAGCACCTTATTATGAGACCAGGCATTTATGAAGTTGTGCGTTTAATTCCGTTTACTTACATGTATGCATGTATACAATCATTGGTCTTTGCAGTGGTAGCACCAGGGAATTTCACACACTGCTGAAAATACTCGGCATCTCTGCTTCTGGGATCTGGTGCTCCATACTTATATTCTCTAACAAAGCCTTTGGTCTGCGGTATGTGCTTCAGGTTTATTTTGACAGTGACTTATTCAGATATGTGGGATTAAAGTTAGGGCGCCTGGCCTCCCAAAGTGCTGCAGTGGGAATCTAGTTTCGTTTTGGAAGAAAACAAAGTATGTTCTCTTTTAAAACAGCTTCATGCAATTCTTTTTAAGGCAAGGGCATTATGATCATTAATAGGAACAAATAGGATCTGATTGAGATACCTGAAATATCTGTGGTCTTGCCTGGTAACCATGCAACATGTGAGAATTCCTTGGACATATTTCAGTGAAGTTGACCTACTTTTCCCCCCTACACCTTCCATTTCTAAACAACATAATCCTTCTAAATATGGTTTTCTAACTAAAACCATATAAAAAGGTTTAAGACCAGCTCTTTGCAGAACAAAAGCCCCAAAAAACTGAGTTCACTGCTGAAAATCCTATCTATAAGGAATAGCCTTTAAGTTGTTTACTGATCTGGACGATAGCCTGCAGCTGGAACTACATGTTGATGATCTTACTCTGCAGGGAGTCATTTCCTGTCAGGACTAAACAAACAGACTCTGGACAATGTGGTCATGACTTAACTTGCCACAAACATTCTTTATACCAACTCCCACACTGACCTCTTCATGGACACTAGAAGGGAAATTTCTGCATAGAAAAATGGAGATATAATTGATTGACACAGCAATAATTTTCTATGGGAACATTTTGGAGAGTGTAGTGATATTTTTCTTTTCTTTTTTTTTTTTTTGGATGGCCATACAGGGAGACTTGACATTGGCAGACTATGTGACCTCAAGAAATGACATTATGGGGGTGCTTATTGTCCTTATTCTAGAGATAGGACAGTGGAAAGAGTAAGAAATCGGGGCGAGAGAGAGTGGGGAATGACATGCTGTGAAGGAGCCACAGGTCGGATATGAACCCGGGCCGCCTGCTCTCGAGGACTAAGCCTCTGTACAAGATGCGCGTGCACTAACGGCTACCAGCGACACCACCATTCATTTACTTTTCTTCTAGAATAAAGGTCAACAATGTGTGGTGGGGAGACAACTTAAATGTTCAGAATTCGTAATGTGAAATATGTTTTGTGTTTGTTTACAAAGGCATATAATCTATAGATCCTGTCTAAGTGTGCATCATACAGAGAAGTATTACCGATGTACAATTTAAACATGTTCATTTCTATATCTGTTTGTTAAATGGGGTGTCACTCTTTGAATAGCAGCATCAACAAACTGGTGTGTAATGTGTGTACGTCATAGTTTACTCACGCAGAACGTCCTTCTACGTCGAGCTTGGTGGGGATGATGCCCTTCTTGCTAAGAACAGCAGCAACCTTGTCCACCTCGCTACGTTCCACCGCCTTCATCAGCCGGTCGTCATACTTGTTCCAGTCTGTGTTCTGACAAAACAAAAGTAAACCATTAGACATACAGTGACAGTATTTCCTAAAATTTCCAGTCAAGCTAAGCAGGTGTTTCTTCAGCAGAGAGTAAAACCTATAATACAATTTGCAATTTGCAGCACAAAGTTCATGTTTGACACGAACAGAACAGACCTAATGGCAACGCAAATGTTCTTTTTCTAATACAATAACATACCTCAGATAGGGCAGCATGTGCCAAGAATGTGCTGCACTGCAGTTTTACTAAACCCACTGTCCCCCCATGAGTGATGACTACCAAGTATGGAAACAGAAAATTCAAGATTTCAAAGAAAAACATTTAAACAAATCACATGGGCACAACTTGTTATAACAGCTTTGGACATACAGGACATTTGTAAGAACATGAGCAGGAAGCTAAAAGAAAAAAAAAAGCTAAAATAATAATTAAACCATACATAAACTGTACATGTACATAACAGACAATATGTTAAATATAAGGTAATTATGGAGCCCTTAATGAGTCACTAAAAGGATGATAAATATTAGCCTGAAGAGGTTCAGAAAAAATTGTTTTGCCACTTTGCTATAAAATAGATTTCATGTACTTGCAATTTAAGATGAAAACCAAAAAAAAAGAAGGATCAGTAACCACCAGACAAGCTTTGGATGAATAATATAAGTTACAAAGAATACCTACAAAGTGCATGGAAGTGCATTTCAGCCAGCGGCTCATCTTGGGTGAGTGCAGCTGGTCCTTGCACCGTGCTACTGAAAAGGTTGCCATGATTTTGTTTTAAAAAGCCACAAAAAAAAGAGAAGAAAAGAAAAACAAAGTTTACAAAAAAATGTCCTAAGTCTCTTGGTGCTCTCAGCCAGTGAGTGCAACACAAGATGGAGACAAAAGGGCGACAGTCCAAACTGCACTGTAGGTCCTCTTAAGGATCAACCTCTGGAGTTTCCTTCCCTCAAGGCAGAAAAGTTCATTTGGCAGGATTTTCTAAGCATTCCTGAGTTGCTCATAGGCTCTGCCTTGAAGTTCATCACTGCACAGCAGTTTAGTGACGGTTAAAGGGAGAGGAAGGAGGAGGAAGAGGAGGAAGGATTGGAGGTGGAGAAGCAGTTGGGCCAGCCCTGCCAGCCTTGGGACCTGCCCTGGCCGGCAACTGCAACTCCTCCTCTGGAGGAAAAGTCAGCTCAGCCTGGCTACCTCCTGCTTCCCCCAAGTGTCTTCCCTTCTGTTCTCGCTTTTATCCTCAAACCTTCTTTTTAAACAAAATCTTCTTTTGTTGCGATACTCTTCCTTTTCTTCTCTGCACAGTAGAGCAGTAACTAAGGAACTTCTCTCTTTGCCTCTTCTGTCCTTTATGAGTGGTCTCCAGTGTCTTCACCCCACCAAATGGCAAGCCAGTCAGGCTCAGCGGGGTAAATATGTGAGCTCTCCCAGGTTTAAAATATCACCCCCTCCCCGGTAAACAGCAGTGGTGCAGACAGCACTGCAGACTGGTTACCTCTTTATTTTTTGACCCTCCAACCTTTATGTAGTGACTGATAGGAAGACAGGGGCTAAGAATACATTCTGCACATGCCTGCACCATGAGTAATGGCTTTAGTGTCTATCGGCACTGCCAGCATGAAACAAGGCCAGCCAAAAAGACCTTGCTTACATTGCCACCCCCCACTGTTCTCCCTGCTCGCCTCCATCTGAAAATATTAATGTCAGGGGGGATTATGCTTTGCACATTTGAAGTGGTCTTGGCTCTGACCCTCATAGGACACTGGGTTAAGAGCTGCTGTAAAACCATCCATCTAAAAGAGAGTGGTGTGGCTCCAAAGCCTCCTGATCCTAGCAGTGTGGTAGCAAGGTTAAAGTCAGCCTTTTTACAACCACCTGTCTGAGACTGCGACCCCACAAAACTACACTTCCTCTAATCCCCAGACTGTAAACACCGCAGAACTTTCACTTTGACTGGCTGAAAGATGTCAAGAAGAAGATGCAGAGAAAGCTATCCAAGGAACCGTTTTATTTACACACGGCATCAGCTTCTTGTGGCCTTGTGTTACAGGCCAATGCCTGACTGGCGTTAACAGAGCAGAACTGATATCCACAAACATGCAAAAAGACCTCGTCCACATGACATGTCATATGAAGAAGTAGGTGTCAACTTACGAAAGCTGCTCAGCCTTGCATAGAGACAAAGGCGCCAAAATGGCACCTAGCCACAGAGCATACTGTACATAGGTCACGTAAATATCTCACACGGGTACTCTGGTGCGTGTGTGTGTGTGTGTGTGTGTGTGTGTGTGTGTGTGTGTGTGTGTGTATTTGTTAGGGAGTCTGTTAATGTACTAGTTAATGATAGGGCTGTAAGCGAGTCACTGAAAGAGTCAACTACTGGTCAATACCAATAAAACAAAGTATATACACTGGTTTTCAGGTACAACTTGATGTTTTTAAATCATTTTGATTATATACTCCTTTTTAAAAGATACATGGTTTTGAATATAAGGTTAATGAGGATATTTTATGGATGTGATGGCTATTTGAAAGTTAAATGGTCTAGATGAATTCACTTGACTATCCTGCACCCTTTACGAGGAGGAAAGTTAACGACCAGAACTCATGATGATATCTAGTTTCATATCATGACGTCAATATGATGCAAAGATATCTCCCATCTTTAATTTCATACGATGGAATTGCACCCTGCTGAAAAAAAGACAACAACTTTTTGGCATCTGAATATGTCTGAGGTTTGGAATAAATGGCTGAGCTCAACAACATTTAGCTAGAGGAGTGTTTATTTTATCTGGATGTTGAAAATGAATCAAACATTTATCTTTAAATGTTCCTGTATTTGATCCATGTTTTAAAAAGCAATAATGGTTTTAAATATCAGATGTTTCTTTATTGTATATTTACTCATTTCAAAGGCAGATACAGACATTTTTATTTAACCGTTTTATTTGTAAAGGGACCAATATACAATATTAAACACAAATCTTGCCATTTGATGCATTTTATGAAAGTTAGCTTAGAGCTAGTTTACATCTGCAGTCCCTCGGCAGGTCATTGTCGTGTCCTTGTACACTGATCAAATCATGTCAGAGATATAATTGTTAATGTTCATCAGATGTGCATCTTTTGATTCTTTTTCCAAACAGAAACACTGGAAAAGCCAGACTCCCTTCGAGGTCTATAGACCCAAGAAGTTAGAGTTTACAGCCATGCTTTTAGGTGCCCCTCCCCCCTTTTTAAACAAGAATTTTTCCTAGGATTGCTATAATAATCGTGTAGGGTGTTGTCGGCATGCTAAGTTTGCGCCAAACACATAGTATAACTAAGGCTGATAGAAATGCTGATATTAAATGTGAACGTGATGGTGCTTAGGTTCCAAAGGCCTGTTTTTTTGTGTGTGTGTATGTGTGGGATGGGGTGAGGCTCTGTTTAGCTTGCATGTATCAGAAAGAACCATGTTAAAACATAACTGGGAAATGTATGCAATGGTGTTTTGGTTAGAACAAATTTGCATATCATGACAGGATTATATCAATGGAAACTATAAAAAAAGCAATGTATCACTTTTTTCGTGGAAGTCCTGGAGGGTTCAGAGCTTTTCAAAGTTACAGGTAGGGGGGGCACCAAGGAAAAAAGGTTAAGAACATTAAGAATGTTCTAGATGAATTGCCAGATTTACCAATTTTTCCTTAAAAATACATGAAAGTTTCATGGCTATTCAATAGAAAGCAGTTGTTTTCTGGTTTTACTATTACTTAATGGTGGTCAGGATTCATTTCCATTTTTTTATTCAAGCCTTAATATGGTTACAATAAGGAGAAAGATCAATAACTGCTAAAAAAAATACACAATTTTCAATGTACTCAATTTGTGTAAGGTTATTGGTACTAAAATGCATACAGACTACCTTGAAGTACCCAGCTCTCCTCATGCACTGTATCCTCAACAACATGACCATATACAGTATAGGTACACTGTGATGTTGATGCCAAACCGTGTTGTGTGCAACTGAAACAAACACATTACCTAAAGCTTCCATTTTAGCACAGTGACCTTGTGGACAAAACATCACCTGACACTGGATGAGCCATGTCAGACCTCTACCTGTCCACGCAGATTATTCTGGGTCTGAAAATACTAAGAATACTAAGGCTAAAGACTTTGTCATCTTCAACTCAGGTTTTCCACAGCTGTCAAGAGGCTGTAATTCATTCCAACGCCTCAGTTTCCTGCCCGTCTCTGCCCCTGGCGAGACTAATGGGTCGTTAATGCGTGTAATGTCCTCACAGATGAAATCAGCAGCAGAAAATACCCGACTGGTCATCTGATAACAGACTGGTGCCAACACATAAACATAAAACTATACACCAATATGTGAAGTGATAGTCGTGTCAAAAGCCAAGCTTCAGTCACTGATGGGCTTTCATAAGATTATGACTGTGTGGAGACATGATCGTAAGACAAGTCTGTGAGAATACAATCTGACATGTAAAGGAAACCTTTGACATCTTGTGAGTGATAGTAGTGAGTGGCACATATAATGATAACCATGATCGTCCTCCCATATGAATATTTGCTAATTAGCACTTACTAGAAGTCAATCAATCAATATTTATTTGCATAATTGTCTGGAGACGCTTTACAAAAGAGCATACAGGATAATATGCAGGAAGGATTTCTCCTTTGTATTCTACGTGTTCCTCCAAAACGAAGTGCATCTGGGTTTTAATTGTTTTGTCATTTTTTAAGTCTACATGAGATGAGTGTCATGATTTACCTTCAAATTTCACCCCATGTGAGCTTTTAAGAGTGCCGTCTGTCAGAAGATCATGAAGCATTTCCAGGTGAATACCTTTTTAGTCTTTAAAATCACATCACTGTTGTTTTTTAAACTAGCTAACATCACAAGATAAAAAGATTCAGACCAGCTAGTGAGCTAAATTAAACAAGGCTCAAACCCACCAAAGCTCTCCAAAGAGTGTTGAAGAAACACAAATAT